CTGGAAGCTCCATGTTTTATTCTGTAGGAAGAGTATAAAGTTTTTCTCTCTAAAGTAACACACAGACTTAGCAGGTCAGTTTACCTGGAGAGCAGCAGTTAAGACAGATCTGATCTTAAGTTAGATCAGACACAAAATCTAGGTTTATAAATTCAGTTGTATAAAAAATGGGGCAAAGAGATTTCAGAACTTGCCATCAGTGATATCACAACAGTTTTGACTCTCAGGGGAAAGCAATCCAAGGTTGTTTCTTTAAACATGTCCTTCAACAACCCACAAGTAAAGTATTGGGCTAAGAACCTGGATGGATCTGCACAGAAACTGAAAATAAACCTGAACATGCAAGACTCATTCTCCAGTCATAAGGAATACAAAGAAAAGACAAGAAAGGTACAATGAGAAGCGGCTTAGTCTTTATACACTTTTCAGTTCTAGCAAAGTTCTGTTATGATCACAGAGAAAGGAAAAAAAAAATAGGATGATCTTTATCTTCAGTGCAACTTGCATAATGCTTGCAAAAGAAAAGCTAGAAAACTAAGAGGAGAGAAAAAGTGGTTCTTCTGACATGACAGAAAACAAAAGTGAAAGATATGCTGTGTCGGTCCATGGTTGTGTTCTCTTGCATGACATCTAGGATTTGAGACAAGATTCTTATGTGGGATAAAGTGATATGGCTCCACTGCCTCTAGCGTAAACTCACCACTTTATGAATGCTAAAGAGCCAGTCATATTCTGTTTGCCCTAATGAAACTTCTCTAAGAAATGGCGAACGCAAATATGGAGAAAGATGTTTCAATGGTGGGTACAAGCATAGGATTCAAAACACCTGAGACAATATTCAGCTTTGGCACAGGGCTCCTACATGAACATAGGTACGTCTTCTCTGAGTTCACTTCCTTGTGGATAAAACACTGATGCTTATGGGATGCTGTATGGATAAGTGCTCTAAGGAGTGAGGTGCTGGGGTATGCAAATAGTTGATAGCTACACCAGGAAAAGATGAAGAATGCTAACCACTGTCAAGGTGGTGAGCAGTGTTGTTAAGTGGGTGTGTACAAGCTATCCCTTATGCAGGGATGTGCTATCTTGATATTCCTTGTTTACTGAAAGATGCAGGTTTACTGGATGCAGGTAGCCTTATCATCCAGGAAGCCATCAATGAAAAACAAGCAGCTTATCTAGTCCTGCACACCCCCCCCCACTTCCCTTCCCTTCCCTTGAGCAGCAGAGAGCACAATAAAAGCTGAGACGAGTCTCTGTAGCAACCCAAAGCTGTGAATCTTCCTTTCAGTCTGTCTGGCCAAAATCCCTTCATTCACAGAGGGAATTTAGGCCAGAGATCACCAGTTCTAGCTCTCCGCCAGAATAAAAGAGGAGAGGGTTAGAAAGGAAGGAAAACAGCCATAACTCAGCAAGTACAGTCAGAAGGAGTAGGAGATGCACAAAAGACATAGTCCTCTGCTGTGTTTCCAGCTATATCCTCACCCTCATGCCCCTTTCAAATTTCCCCTCCCATGACATTGAGTGGTATTTTATTGTCACTTATATACAAGGATATCGTTTGCCATTTAGAAGAAGAAAGGAACCTGGGATAGGAATAGATTTCCGCTGCTTTGGAAAGAGGTTGAAAACTCATTCCATCCTCATTATATTACAGAGTGGTATTCCAGCCTTAGGAATAAGACACTGACAGATACTCTGGGGTTCCCTGATGCAGCCTTACTGAGGGATGCCCCTTAAGACACAGACAAGCCAGTACAGCACTGCTCCACAGCTTGCTAGAACCAGCAAGACTTGGGAGAATAACGGGCAAGTTCAAAAGTATGAAAGAATTAGAGAATGGAGAAAAACAGAGGTGAAAACAAAAAAGGTGCAGCTGAAGTCTGAGGTGGTTAAAATGAAAAATGGGACTGTGCCGTTCACAGGTAGATAGATAGATCAATCAACTGATGTCATCTACACTGACACACAATTCACTGCTGGGGCAATTATTCCAGCATAGCAGTGGCAGAAACTATATGGGAGACAGAATTCAGGGGCTTTTAGTCAGGGGAGAGTTGGACAACAAAGGAGTAAAAAATGGTAAATGTCATTCCCCAGTAAAGATACATGGGATATAACTTATGACTGTGCAGTTGCAGAGCACAGAGAGAAAGATGGACAGATAGACAAATAGATACATAAAAGTCTGAGTTTTGGTTGTGCAATCATTCGCTGTCTGACCTTAGCCTCCCCTACTCTCCACAACTCTTAGAGGGAAGAGTGTTTAGCATTATTGTGTCCCAGTCTCTTTGCTATGTTACTGTTGACTTCTTTATCCCCCCGCACTGAGTAAGTGGTGCTGCCTGTGGAAGGTACGAGGAATTTTTCTTCATAAGCCTTGATGTGTTCAAGAGAGGGCTGGGCTCATCTCTGTCATGAGCCTGACAGGGGCTTTAACAGCCTCACAACACTGGGACAAATAGCTCCTGGTCCCTTAACCCTTCTCAGCTTTGCAAGGCAAGGCCTAGCACTGCTGTTCCCATTGCAAGGGCTTTAAAAAGTCTTTCAGGCTGAAATCCTCTCCGTGGTGGCTGGGCAGAACGGAAATCCAGGGGCTGGATCAGATTGGCCTAATGCTACAGCAGCTTAAGCAGTCTGTTTTACCAGAGATTATGGTTTCACTTACACAGAGCGCCTGAAAAATGCTGTGGTTTAGGAAGGATTATAGCTGAAAATTCCATGCTTTAAAAGAGAAATAAAGCAGGGGAGGGACTAGGAAACCCAGTGTGCCTGAGGGCTGTGCAAACAGGATTAACCTCTGCTCATAGCACCTCTTGCTTCTGCCCACCCATGCTTCCTGTGTCCATCCCCTTCCCTGCCCTTTCCTGCCCAGCGGCTCCCACACCTTTGCCCTCTTGCACTACAGAGATGAAAAAGGAGCCTGGAAAATACCCAGGACCAGAGTATCCCTAGTTTATTTAGCTATGACTATCACATGCCTTCCTTGAAAAATACCACTCCACTTGCAGCCCCTGAAAGCCAGGGGAACTTTTGGCCCCCTGCCTGCACATAGATCCATTCATCCAAATCATCTAGTATCAACATTATTTGGATGAAGGCTTCAGCACCCCTAGGCTTCTGGTGGTGACTCTGCCTGTCTGTCCTGAAGGTAAATCTGTGCACTCCTTGCCATCTGATGACAAAGAACGCAGGAGAAAAATAGTCCTGTGGATTCTCCATCTACAGAGACCAGCATGTGAAGCCTCACTGGTAGGACTGTAGGAGAGTATATTGGTGTAAAAAGCAGAAGCTGGGTGCCAATGTGCTGTTTACTCTGGTGTTTTTAATTAACTGTGCAACAAGAACCAGACACTCCAGTTTCTATTCCCCATACCCACCACAAAAGGTCTTTGCCAAACAGAGCTTCCTGCAGCAAAAAGGGAAAAGAAGTTACAATCCTTTCTTAGCATACCAGAGACTTCATGTAAGTGAAATAAATAAAGATGAACTGTACACCTTTTCGCAAGGACTCATCCTTCCCAATCATCTGAACCATGAACATATGTCTCTGCTGCAAAGGCATCTCAGTAATCAGAGACCTTTGCTGGCCATCCTAGTTAAGAGGTACTTGGAGAAGAGCACAGATGGAAAACTATAATTTTTGCCAGGTAGCAAACCTTTAGGAAACAAATGCCTTAGGATAAAGAGCATTTGCAGATAGAAACTGCCCAGCCCTTTATTGTCTAGGTGAGCACTGCAGCCTCGCAATAAGGTGCCTAGAGTTAATTAAGCCAGTTCTACATTAATGAAGTCAGATTTATGACCTAATTATATGTCACATTTATATTTCTCTGTATAAATCAAAACCACCAGAACTAACTTATTTCATTGGCCATTGGCAACACTTGTCATCACAGCAGAGAGATGACTTTCCTTTATTGACTGTAATGTGTTTACCTGAGGGTGGAGGGTTTGCTAGACAATTTGAATGGGATCTGATCGTATCATCCATACTTTGTATTCAGGTGTTCAAATACAGGACTATATAACTGCTGACCCAACCACAGTGGGTGTTCATTGAGCTCTCCAATTCCTAAGCCTCTTCCTTGGCTGCAGTTCCAAACCTGTATCTATTGTGCCTATTCGAATCTGAAAAATGGAGGTCCAATGCAAACAACAATATAAATAAGACCTTTTATATGTCTCACACATTTCCTCTCTTCCATTATATCTCTCTGTCAAGGTACCTATCTGGCAACACTATACTGTGGGAACAACTAGAGTCAGCACTGACAGCTTTTACGGTTAAAGCTCCGAAGTGTGCCACTGTGAACAAGATTAATTGATTGATCTGTCTACCCACCTATTAGTTACACAGTCCCATTCTTACTTTAACCACCTCAAACTTCAGCTACACCTTTTTTGTCAAAGCTTTTATGGAGTTCGGCTTGAGAAGCTTTGGCCATTACCCTGAGTATCCTGTTTTATAGATGCTCATAATAATGCAGCTCTCCTGGGGAAGGTTACCCTGGGCTGGAAGAGGCAAAGCAGTATAATTCCCTAGATCAAACTGCGCAAGTGTAGCATCTTCACATGCCCTTGGCCCACAAGAGAAAGCAGCAGGAAAGGGAGCACAGAAGCTTCTGAGCATTCTTCTCCTTCCCAGCCCTATGCTACCTCCTGTCCTTCCTCTCCTGCACGTCCCTGCCCTCACCTCTCCTTTAACTGCATCCCATCCCTCCCATCTGCCACTGCACTCCATTCTCCTCATCTCCTGCTCCCCCTGCAGTCAGAGCCTAGCCCCCGGGTGCATTTACTGCTGTTGTCTCAGCACTGGCTCCTCTGATCTACTCCTAACCTTTTTATTTTTATTTTGTTTTTTAAATTAATTTCCCTGTAGATTTTAACCACTCCATTTTCATTTACCCATTTTGTTCTTCCTCTCCTCCCTTCCCCACCCTCCTCTTCCTCCCCCTGTTCCCTTTGTCTGTCTGTGTCCATCCCTTACCCTACCACAGAAAACCTCTCCTCTCCCCTCAGTATAAAGCAAGAGCCTCATGGAGCCTCTCTCACCCCTTTCACCCCCACCACGCCGGTCGGCTCTGGGCAGGCTGATCTTCAGCCCTTCCACATGGCCCTTTCAGACGATGCGTCCACGCCTTGCTACAGTGCCTTCCTTCATCATGGTGCCCACTTTGGGCAGTCCAGCAGCCAGCCTCTGATAGCAGGTAACTGGCCTTGGCCACAAACTCAGTGGGAATGCTGCAGGAAAGGGGTGCAGTTTTGCCTGATGGGGAGACCAGTAAATGCTGCAAGCTCTTTGAGTGCAATTGGGACCCAGAGTAGCCATGTTCCAGTTCTGTGTATGCAGCATGTGTGCTCAGCTCCATGGAGGGTCACAGAAAGATTTCATGCCAGTCCTTAATTTTTTAGAATAAAATGGGAAAAGAAGCTGTAACTACTTAGAAGGATGTCCCAGTTGTATGGGTCTGGAACTTACTATAGAAATACTCATAGAGCAAAATCCTGTGTTGCCTCAAAAGCCGTAATGCCCCTGAGTACTGTAGTGTTAGCAAGGGTACTGTGTGCTAGCCTAAAGTAGATGATAGCAGCTTGAATAATTTAGCCAGCTCTAGGATTGACAGGGACATTCAGCATGGGTTGTACAAACTACTAAGCTAGATAAATACACTGTCATAGCTATGTTGTGAGCAGTATTTGAGTCACCTGGTTTGAGAGTGTCAATGTGAGCTAGTGCCTTCACACAGCAGACCAAGTAGCTAAGGAAAAGGGCATCACATCTGAACATCAGGGCCAGGAAGAGTGGGTAAGAGACTATAACGCCTTACAGCCAAAGGAATACAGGCCCGGGGTAGATGGCCTTTAAGGGAAGGAGACAAGTGAAGAAATAGGTTGCAGAAGATCACAGCACTTAGAAGCAGCAGGCTGGAGGGGAGGGTGGGGAGCGAGGGTAGGTTTCAGGTAGGTATTAGGGGAAACTCATGTGCAAGGTGACTTAAGCAACATTGCAGCAGAAGCTCAGGTGTGGCTTGGATGAAATGGTGGGTATCATTTTAGGTGACCATTGAGGCTGTTGTCACTTCATTGTCAAAGAATATAATTTGGGCTTTTTCAGAGCAGATAGTCTTAGCACAGACCACAGTTCCTAATGCTCAAGAAACACATCTTACCTTTGCCTTCTTCATTTTCCTATTTTTCTCTTTTGACCTAATGTCCTCCCTTTGTCTTGTCAGGTGAGATTTGCATTTCTGAATCTCCCTGTAGGAAAGCATCAGGTAACAGCAGAGAAGACTTTTGTGTTCATAACACTGTCTTGGTCTAATCTTACTGCAGCCAGTAAGAGTCTCTGAGCTCTGGGCACTTCCTAAGCCAAGGAGTCTCATAACAGATTCTCTCCAGCAATACAGTTCTCTAGGGATGCAGTCATATATGAGCACCCTCTAGCCTAGAAGGCACTGTGTTTTAGGAGAGGCATCTGCCTTAGGACCCTCATGGAGAATTAGACATGGGAGAAAGTGTTCCAAAGCTCAAACAATGTCATAGAGATGAAGGTACTGTTCCTCACTTGGAAGGCTCTTGGGGAGCGGAGAATGGCTGGAGTTGGAAGCATGTTATGAGCAGGATAGGTGCTAGCTTTGTCAGCCCTGGAATACAAGAATTTAATAATCCTGTCACCTGTTGGTAATGACAGGAGGTAATGGAAGGGGCCTGCCTGCACGTAACTGCATTTTGAGAGTCTCTCTGTGAGACTCATTCATGTTGCTGATACTGATAACTGTTTGTTATCTTCCTTCTGAAGATTGGGATTTTGACTTTCCAGTAAATTTTCTACACTGAATTTTGAACATCAGCCTCTGTGTGCTCATGTCTGAATAAAAACACAAGGGCACATGTGCACAGATCGGGCAGCAGAGTGAGTGTGTATGTGTTCCCACCGGAACTGAAGTGTCAAAATTAATTAATTTTGCCTGCTGCTATGTAATGTTCTAACTGTTCAGTAACACTGTCTTCTCACTCATCACCTGTTGTTGTATCTCAGGCTAGTCAATAAATGAAACCTAAAGAACATGAATTTTAAGCATAAAACTTTCTCACCTTTAAAGAATGCGAAGGGAAAGAAAACATAACCTACATGTAGGAGGTGTTTATCATCCAGCTTAACACACAACTACCAATCCCTAAGAAATGAAGGTTATAAAAGAGTAGAAGAGTGCAGAATATAAATCCCTGAGGCATTATATATTTATTTTTATCAATATTGGGGAGTGGCTGAAAAATGGCTCAGCCATGAGACTACTCATGCCTGGTAGTTCTGTCCCATTATCCAAGTGCAGGTGAGACAGGAACATCAGCCACTGATTAGGAACTCTTCAAGGAGAAAGAATGAATTTGCATTTCTTTTTTCTTGAGCAAATCACCTCAGTAATCTTTAGTCAAGACCTGTGAAAGCAATGAGGTAGTTTAGCCTACCTCATCAAAGAGTAACTTCCTCCCTTCAGGTCAATGCTCCATGTTGATCAGTTTTTGCTTTGCTGTGTAACTGTTACGTATTTCTGATTGCCCAGCAAAGGTTCATGCTTGTTGCAGGGCCTGCTTTACCAGTTATCATTCTGCCATTAGTAGAGCTAAACCAACTCTTACTCTTCTTTCTCTGCCATACCCGAGCATGCTACAAGTGACTCTAGTGGTGTTAATACCTAACCTGTCACTTCTAAAGGTGATCACATTCCAGTCCTCCAATTAGAGCAGACAGGAGGGACAAAATTTAACAAAGGAACAACAAATGGCACAAATTTCTTGAGGAGCTACAGGTCACCTAGGGAATGTGAAAGGCTTTGGATGCCTGCAATAGGCTGAGATCTCAGTAGGTACCGTTGGAGGTTGAGTTATAAATCTCTCAGCAGCTGTGGGGGAAAAATTATCTTAATTTATGTAGCCTTTTTTTGTTTGTTTGGTTGGTTTGGTTTGGTTTTGGTTTGGTTTGGTTTGGTTTTGCTTTGGCTTGCAATTCCCAGCAGCTTCTGAGATTATTTTAGTTCATTTAAATGCAATAAGCACTAACAGCAAATGCCCTTCTGGCTGGCCCATTTTCAGGCTAACAAGTCCAAATGAAGAAATGCCTCTGGCATCAACCAAGAAGCCTCCAGCTGCACTTCCTAAGAGATGAAAAATACACTACAACCATCCACCCAGTCCACACCCCTCTCTACTTTGGTGGAGAAAAGATAACACTTGTACCTGCGATAAAAATGAAGTGGGACTCAAACTAATTTGCATGATTCTATTACAGTATATATTACACTAGCACCTGGAAGGAGTCCAACTGGTATTGATCTAATGCTAAGCACTGTGAAAATGTATTAAGTGTGCCCTTGCACCAAAGAGTTTGCAGCATAAGAAGCAGCACAGAGATGAAGTGACTCACCTAAAATCATCATCAGGTGAATGGCAGAGGTGGGAAGAGAGACAGGCACAGAAAACTCCTGGATCACTCTCCAATGCCTTGCACATTGATCATGCCCTAAAGCAACATCCTACCAGTTTTGGAACTGCATCCACTGCAGATAGACAGGACTTCAGCTACTCTGGCAAAGAATATGCCATCATTCTCTGTGCAGCTCAGGGCCATTTTGATTCAGTTAAAATAAATGCAAAATCTACAATGAAACAAATTCTTTTGAGCCTCACAAAGCTAAGTTTTAACATCCACCCTTATTATAGTGCGAGATCAAAAATGCCATGAACTTCCCCCAGAATTTTCAGTGGATGAACAGCACTTATGCAAAAGAAGTGTGCACAGCATTTGCCTATCAAGCTGCTAGTCACGTGACATTGGGAAAAAAGGTGGTATCAAATCAAAATTGAAAAACCTTATCCCCATTGATCCCCTATCCTGATTCTTTCCCTTTCCAGGTCGTGATATGGCAAGCACCACCTTGCCTGGCTACCCACCCCATGTTCCCCCAACTGGACAAGGCAGCTACCCAACCTCAACTCTTGCAGGAATGGTTCCTGGTAAGTCAGCCCCCAGACTTCAGTAATGCTGCACACGTGTTTAAACAGTATACTAGTATTGTAAGAGCTTTCACAGTTGGCTTTGCTATTGCTTTGCTGATATTAAGGACTATTCTTTTCATAAAGAAATCATCAGGTGCCTATAACAATTGCAGCTAACTTTTTTGTAATATGTCTCTTTCCCCCTAGTAACTGATTCACTGCTGCTGTGGGCAACTAGCTATCTATAACCTGTGGCAATTAACTGGTAATTAATTAACCTTAGTATTCATTAACTAATGTAATTATTTTCCAACAACCCCTGCAGATTATTAAGTACTGTTCATGGCTCACGATATTCAGCTATCCACTAACTTAGGGTAACAATTTACCTTCCATCTAAAGCCAAGGCATTAAACTGAAAATCATCAATGATAATATAATACCTGCAATTTTTGGAGACCCACTGTCCATAGCCTAAACTAGCTAAGAACTCAGCAATGACTAACAGCATTTCAGAAGAAACTAACTATTCCCTTTTAACAACCAGCTACCTACCTGCCTCCTCTTTGTAAGACTGTGCCTCCAGTCCAAGAAACTTTGTACCTAATCCTGCACCTAAAGGCAAACTGTTCCTTTGCTACCTGATTTATTTGGAGAAGTATTTTCTATTGGCATAAACAGAAGGATTCTCCCTCTGTTTAGGGAGAAGAGAGGACCATTTACCCTAGGGCAATTGAAGAGTTTATTACCTCAGGCTCTATTCCCCATTCCTCAGATGACAGTTATCCCCAGCAGATAAATGAAGAGGCAGGATTTTTGTTTCTCAGCCACGGTAGCTCAGAACTCAGAACTTCATCTGCCACTGACTTCTGCTTCTGTTACTGCCCTGGGCTGTGAGTTGTGATGGCTAATGAGCAGGTACACAGTCCATTCTGCAGCCTCTGCTACTGAAGGGATGACTCCAGAACCAAAGCAGCAGAAAGCTGAGGACAGAAAGCTCTTAAATCACTATGATATGATTTGCCAGGGCTTAGGAGTGAAAAGCCTAAACACCCTCATCCAAATCTTAGAACAGCTAGCTATATGAACATACACTGCAGCAACACTATATGAACATACACTGCAGCAACACAACTGAAAATATCACTGACAGAAATATTTGCAGGTTGAAGTCTTAACATCTTTAAATGACAAATCACTGCTCATATACCACGAAGTACTGGCTATTGCCCATGGTCACATTCCGCAACTAATAAGCTACCTACTGCTTCTGATCCTAAGGCACAACAAAATCTCAGGCTATGCTGTGAAGATGATGTGATTGATCTCCAGATCAGGAAAAGATAGTGGATTGATACTTTCCTCACCTCCACTTTAGTCCCTTGATATAGCTGACCAGCTTGCTGAACTGGGGTGGTGCAGAGGTGGCAAATTTTAGGGCATCTCGTTCTACACTAAATTTTTCAGATAGATGGTTTGGCTCCAGAATCACAGAAGCAGTAAGACAATATAGATCAGTTTAAAAACCCCACACAGTAACAGTAGGTAGACTCAGTTGTCAATATTTAAGTCAGTTGTACGTCAAAACTTAGAGAAGATCACAGCATGCAGAAATTATTAATAACTTCAAAGTAGCTGACTCTTTGAATAGACACTTCTAAAAAACAGGCTCTTCTCAACTTCTGACTGTTCTCAACTGTTCAGTGACTGCTATGCAAGTTTAACACCCTCATCACAAGGATAATACTGAAATCTAAACTGTAAAAAAAAATTAAGGCCACTAATCACAAGGGTCAGTTATCCAAGAATAGTGTATTTCATCTCCTTGATGTGGACGCTACTTATTTGTAAAACGGCAGTGTCCCTTGAAGCCACACAGATGCCCCCTAAAAGAAAAGAAACAGGATGATAAAGAAAAAAACCTGAGTTACACTTCAAAGAAAAAAAGATTCTTCAAGTCAAGTGAGTGTCTTTACATTAAATCTGATGTCAACATTCAATTAGAAGAAGTTTTTCCAGTGGCCTACTTGGGTATCCTGCAGTAGTTACTGCATATTTCCACAAAGCCCTTCTATTCCTGTCTTCTAATGAAACTGAAGCCAACAAGCTGGAGAGATAAAGAGGCTTCATGAGAAGGAACAGAAGACTTGGCTTTAATGGGTCATGCTGCAGATCTCCTCAGCTACAGGGCAAAAATGAACGTCTGGGGAAGGGTGTAAGAATAGAGCAAATGTGTATTGGTACTTCACCAAAAGATCTCCCAGCCTCCGACAAGTTGCATCTCAGAGACTTCCTAAGCCGCACTTAGTATCTTTCTATTTAATTTTTACACGTCCTCAGTAGGTTTCACCTCCACAGATTTGAACAGTGTCTCTTGAACCCATATAAGCCTTTAACATCTGTAGCAACCTATGGAAAGAAGTTCTGTAGCTTAACTACATACTGTGTGAAAACTAACTCCCTTATTTGTTCTGAACCTGCCACCTGCTAGGCTCACTTCATGCCTCATGGTTTCTGTATTAGAAGACTAAACGTGCCAAGATTTAAATACAGATACCAAGAAATACTGCTAGTAAAGGTTTCTAGAGCACGGATTGCACAGAATATAGGCCTCATGAGATCAATCCCCTGTGCTTGCTTGCAACCTCTGTTAAGACACCAGGTTGAATAGAGAAAACAAATATGATCTTGCCAATGGTTTTTCCCATACCCCCAGGACAAGAAAGATCATGGGCCAGTGCTTTAACTACGCTGGAAACAAGAAATCAACAAGATGACCCCTCAGGGAGTATCTTTAAGAAACATACTCACATGCAAGCAAACCTTATTGTCCAGATGTGAGTGAATATGAGAAAGAGCCTCTGTTTTCTCTAGATAAAGGTGCAGAGCTAAAAATAGAACTGGTCAGAAACCAGAATTTCCAATCCATACAAAACTCTGATTCTTTGACATTTGTTTTCATCTTGCATTGGTATGAGGAGCCAGAATCTTGAAATAGTTCAATTTGCAGACATCAGGATGAAACATTTCAATAACATCAACATGTTCTAGATGTCAAGACATATTAAAATAATGAAAGAATTGAAAGGAAATTAAATGAGATGAGAAAGGCAAAATGAAACAAAACAAGAAAGTTGAAACATAATACTTTGTTTCAATTTGCAATCATTTCAGAACTTTTCTTTCCAAAACTCCATTGAAGCTGACAAGCTTTTGCAAAACATTTTCATTTTGATGAGACAGCATTTTCCAGTGGAAAACTGTTTCTGAGAAGATTGTTTGACCAGTGCTAACCAAAGCTGCTTTGCTCTATCCATGACAACCTTTCACTAGACTTCTACTTGTGTAATCTAGAGAAGAGCTTGTCTCTGGTAGCAGCACATCCATGCAACATGGCCAGTCATGCATGCAAATATCTCTGAGGTTTATGTTCCATGATGTGGTAAGATACATATCCTGCATCTGCCCTCGCCTGTAACTGCAGGTCCCAGTCTGTAGACATGGATGAAAGCCAGTAGTCCCTGAGCACCAGGGACTTGAAAAAGCAGGGTTAGTCAGTCAGAGAAGGATTAATCAGGTACTGTGCTACACACTTAACCTGTGTGTCTGAAAGAAGTTTCTTGCACAGGGAACAGAGCACCTTTGCTCCCTGCCTCAATTCTTCATCTTTCCCAGAAAGACCATCAAGTTTCTGCAAACTGTTTTGGAGAAGTCAGCATCTGCTAAAAGGGAAGTGCAGTTTACCCAGAGCAGCTAGAGCCTGCAGAGGGCTGGTGATGGCAACGGCAGGGAGTCGTTAAACAGAATCCAATGTTGATGAGGAAATTACACTTGTTTCATTAGTGATCGAGGAAAGCGATAGCTCAGTTCCTCTTGGTCACAGTTGAGCTCAAAAGCTCATTATCCTGCTGCATGCATGCTTTCACTCCTCGTCAATAAACACTGTTTCCAGTGGCTGCCCTCCCTCCTCCCCAGCTCTCCATAGCTGGGGCTCCTTCTCCTCTCCTTAACCCATGCTTTAAGAACACTAGAAGCAGTTTAGGGTGACAACTCAGAAGATGGTGGGAGAGAAGCCTTGAAATGTCAGAACTTCTTCCCTCTGTGCAGTGAAAAGATGTTTATATGAGGTATTTCAAAGCAGAAATTCTCATTTGGATGCTTTTTTTTCCTTCTTATTGCGGGCAAACTCACTCCTTTATATCCCGCAAGCAAGTCACTTCAGTAGAGATTAATTAGGATTACACATTGCTTTTTGCCTTTGTATCCTATCCCACAGTGTCTTGGTCACCTTGGCAGGTTTCACCTATTCCTTCCCAGCAAGCTGTCAGAATTTTCAGTGCAGGATGTTTCTAGATATGGAAATATGCTGAGTTATTATCATTAAAAGAGTATTTAGCAAGGTCTATCACACAAAATGAGGTTTTATACTGAAGCTAAAAACTGCTGCGACCAAAATACTTTGGATAGTGATTGGTTTTTGATACATGCAACTTTTCATACTGACTACTTTGGCTATTACCCTGAGTTTCTTTAAAAATCTTGTTGGACAGATCCTTCTCAAGTTTAAAGCAGTGCAAATCCCCTGACTTCAACAGACTTCATTTCCACCATCTGAGAACCTGTGGTTTGGCTTTAACTCTCCAGTGAGGGGAGATTTGCAGAGATTACAGTATAATTAATTGACATTTCTTCAGTAATTGTACCACAGGTATCCAGCGGGTCTCGCATTGCCTTCTTTCCTTATTCCATGGTACCTAGAAGGAACCCCAGGTGCTTTCCAAACACTTCTGTTGTAACAACTCCTCCCCTTGCTCAGGGCAAGACCAGAAGCTAATAGTCACACATTAAGTGCATAACGCCATTCAGATCACAGTAATTGTCCCCAGTCTCTTGGTACTAGATTAAATTATGAACAGGTTATGATCAGATAATGGCATATTTTTACTTAGCAGAATCATAAATTTTTAAGTTTTGGGAGATTTATTTATTTTGAATGCAGCACCACACCTCCTCAGTTACCAAATATAATTCCTTAGCCCTGTGCAGCCCTCTATAAAACAAGGAGACTCAGCAACTTATGCACAATAAAACTGAATATTTAAGACCCTACAACGTTCAAAGCTGGGGTCAGACTCTTATTAGATCACAAGTATTTTGGCTTGGGTCCGTTTTACTGAATGTGAAAAAGCTCAGCTTGCCTTTCAGATTCAGAATAGTACCTAAATTATTAGAAAATTATTTTCTGGAACTAGAATAGAGCAACTTTTCTCTGTAACTCACTAAGCACAAAGGTGGGGTTAACGATACATGACTCAGTTTTCTGACTAGCACCATCTATACAGGGAGTAGGAAAGATTCTTATGTTTTTCATTTTGATTTATATTTAAGCCCACCCTACTCTCACTGTATTCATGGAGAAATTACTTTTCTCCACAAATACATCATCACCTGCAGTACCCTACAAACAAAACTTAGCAATACATATTGCCATCAGCAGCCCTGCTAGTTCCAGTGAGTTTATTGTGAGCTTGTCCCATCAAGCTCCAATGCCTGGTGTCTTGACTCTACTGCAGAATCTTACATTTTACTTAAAAGAAAGCTGATGGTTAGTTGCAGAAAAAAGCTTGCATGTGCTTTGTAATCTTTCTGCAACCTGGGAAACAGAAGTTGGAAGGCAACAAAAAATAAATCACTTTAATTATTTGTATTATTGAATTTCATTATTTTAAACTAATTTCTTGAGTCTGAAGAGGCCGATTTTTTTTAATCGTATGGGTAAGCAGCATTGCACTGAATAAATACTACAGTGTCCTGAAGGGTACAATCCCAGCTGAGCAAGAAAGCTACACACACTAGTTTTTCTGCAGGCATACGATTCAGCTTGAACGCTAGCTCGATGGAATAGTAGATCTAAATCTCTTAACTGTATTTCACACCTTCCTTGGTTTGTTCCAGGGAGCGAGTTCTCAGGCAACCCCTACAGCCACCCTCAGTACACAACCTACAATGAGGCCTGGCGGTTCAGCAACCCTGCATTACTAAGTGAGTATCTCTTTCCCACAGCACACCCCCAGCCTCGCGCTCCTTCTGTTTGTCTCTTTGTTTATTTTCTTTTTTATTTGTTTCTGGAAAGGGTTTTCAAGTATTCAGGCAAGTGAGAGGCCTTTTTCCTCCCTCTCCAGTCCAGTGTGTAGATGGGTATATACCTCATGTGTGTTTTGTATCTGTTCTGAAGCTGATTCCTCTTTCCTGTGACAGTTCAGAATTCCAGTTCAGCATGGGCTTCTCCGTGAACTACATCCACAGTTTATTGCAGATTAGATCAAAAGTTAAACTCAGGTTCTGCTATTCTCTCAGGCTGCCATCCATATCCTTTCAAAGTATGATTAAAATTCCAGATGAGGTTTCACTCCTCTCTGAAGGTAAACCCAGAGTCAGTTCCTGGGGATCTGGAAATCCCACAGAAGTTCTTCCTATTGGACCAGTTGGAACTGTGTCCAGGGTGGTAGATGGGCTTTATAACTAGATCGGTAATAGCCGATAGAGTTTTCTAGAAGAGATATATCCATCCCCAGTTCCTAATACGCCTAGAAACAGTTTTTTTTTCAGAGGGGAAAAAGCCTCCTATAAGACCATATCTTCTAACACAACATTTATTTGGAAGGGAATAGGAAGAGATTTATTATATGTAAAATAAATCAGCTGTGATTATTACCTACGTATTTACTGAGGTTTAACAACTGAATAGATGCACATTTTATTCCAGTGTTGTTAAACCTCAGTAAATGTGATCTTAATAATCAATCACTATTTAACACACATTCGATAGCCGTCTAGAGAGCTTTCATGCCAAATGTGACCAAAATCCCACACAATAAAACACTATAATTTTGTTTCACTTCTCCCCTCCTGGTTTTAAAAGTGACCCATTATACCTCGTCAGGTATGCTCAGAACATCTGGCCCTGACACTTTCCCTGTGGCTGCAGATGAGGTGTGGAGTATTTGTGCTGCAATGCTCATAGGCTTCTCTCTCAGTAACTTATTGATGGTCATAACTTATTGACAGTCAGAAGGAGCAAAAAGATTTCCTTCCCACTGAGGGGCTTCAAAGCCAGCGGCCACAGTAGCATCTCTCCACTGAAATGCAGCCCTTGGCTGCCTCCATTTACTGCATTTCCCTAATCCCATTAAGAGCCAAGCCCCAGGTTCCTTCTTTTGGTTCCTTTTGTTTTCTTCCTTTCCTTTCCTTTCCTTTCCTTTCCTTTCCTTTCCTTTCCTTTCCTTTCCTTTCCTTTCCTTTCCTTTCCTTTCCTTTCCTTTCCTTTCCTTTCCTTTCCTTTCCTTTCCTTTCCTTTCCTTTCCTTTCCTTTCCTTTCCTTTCCTTTCCTTTCCTTCCTTTCCTTTCTCCTTTGTTTCTTTTCTTCGTTTGATTTTTTTATTTATTTTTTTTTTTTACTGTTTGTCCTTTCAACCAGTCCATTCTTCTCCTGTGTTAACTTTCAGGTTCCCCTTATTATTATAGTGCCACATCCCGGGGCTCCGCACCTCCCACTGCTGCCGCTGCCTATGACCGCCACTAGTTACCATGGAAACCACATGAAACTACAGGGCGACAGCTTAGGCCTCCACATTGTACCTGTCTGATCACCTCCCCCCATCCCTGGGAAGGGTGAAGAATTTCTCCATTCCTCCCCACAGTCCAGTTCCTTCCTCTTCGCCACGAAGGCACCGGACCAAGTGCTCACCACGCAAGACTGAGACCCTCACCCTCCCCTTGCCCTCTGCCCCTCTGCTCCCCCCATGCCGGGAAGAGCCTGTGGCCAAGTGGCTTCTCCTGCAGGAGCCCTCCACCACTCCTGGGCAGAGTGCAGCCACACAAAGGCCCCTTAGCTTCCAGGACTTCAGGGGGACTGGGAAGCGATACAGCTGGCAACCACTGCCTTACAGGACCCCCTTCCAGGACCGGTGAGGGCAGGGAGAACACCACTCATGAAACACTGTTCCCCAAAGATACGCTCTTCTGTGGTGGACTCTTCAATGTGTGCAACACGTGATGCTCACCCTGTTTCCCAGGACAGAGGGAACAGTCTGGCTAGAGCAGAGATGGCAGTACAGAGACCTGGCCCATCTGGCAATGAAGAAAAGGACCAAGTACCTATCTGCACCCCATGAGGGGTTCTCTGTGCACCTCATCCCAACTCTCCAGCATGGCTTCCCCCATAGTTGGCTGCACCTCACACGTGGTGACTTCACAGGCCAGAGTCGGAAGGAACCTCACACATACACCCACAATTTCTGTGACACACAATCAGCTCAGACAGGAGGATGGAGCAACATTTACAAACCAACCGACAAAATGAAGAAATATATAAATAGATATATAAATATAACTGTGTTTTTATGCTTTGTCATGAAGGTCTGTAAAAAGAAAAAAAAAAAAAAAAAGAACAAATTCCAATTTTCTAAAAAACCCAAGCAAACAAAACCAACAAAACCCCCAAAATAATAATTAAAAAAACCTACAAAAATAAAACTCCAAGTCCCATCCCTCCCCGCCACCTGAATGGCAGACGAGTTCCTCTGACGTCTGATGCTCCTCTTTCACTCTAGGGTTTTGTTTCCTTTCTGTTTTGCACTACAATGGGATGGTGGTATTGGAGAGGATTGGATGCCAGCTCCACCCCTGTTGCCTCCTTCTCCTCCTCCTTTCCCAAATCCTGTCTCTGGGGAGCAGTATGGACAAGTCACATCTGACAAAGTTACCAAACACATCAGTGGACAAAAAAGCACTCTGAGTCAACAAACGTTTTCCATGTCACTGGCTGGCAAACAAAGAAAACAAGCCCAGCTGTGCTCTAGCTGCGCTGTGTGGTGGAAAGTGTGGGGCTTCATGTGGGCCCATCTGATTGCCCTCTGGACAGCTGAGACTGAGATGGACAAATTCAGGATTGGCTGGGATTATTGCTTGGTTCCCTAGCCCTTAGCCTCCACTCCTTTTACCTTAACCTCTGTACCCGTGATGACTTCAGCTCACCCACATCCTGACTTTCACAATTTTAGATATGCCCAACACCCATTCTCCGGATCCCCACTGCTGGTGATAACAGCCTCATTATTCTGTGCCCAACACCCAATTTCCTAACCACTATAGCCTTGCTATATGGGCCCCCTTCGTTTCCCAGTCCATCTGCTCATACACCTACTAATTTATAGGCCTCCATTCAAAGCCGTATGCCTGCATCCCACCTGCCAGTCCCAACATACAGTCCCGTCTTTTCATCTTCAATCCTATATTGTGTGTCCTAATATTTACCCCTTATCCCAAATGCTCACTTGATGATTCTCTAGGGATTCTCTGCTCTTTTTGGTTCCCAAGTGACTGGCAAACTCTGTTCTGAAAAAGGCTAACTGTCAATAGAAACGCTTATTACTCCTGCATTGTCAGCAAACTCATAAACTGTTCCTTGAACTGACACTTCCTAAAAACTACTCAAAGAAAACATGAAGGCAGCTATAGCCTGTCCCCAGGGCATCAAGTCTGCCAAAGTAGATCCTTGTTGTTTTAGAGAGGTTTCAGATAAAACTCATGGGCTACTGTCCATGGACAAAGACAGGATTGAGAATCAACCCCACCCCCCCCCCCCCAGAGGGCATAAAAGTGAACAGCGGAGTAATCTGTACAGCCAACATTATGTATAAAATCCAAAGTTCCAAGCCTCAGAGGAGATGTGGTTGTGGACTCGGTATTCTGTCTCCAAGTTTAACTTGTATGTATTAAATCCATCATCAGTAAACAGCTGTGTTGATCCCAAAGGCCCCCTTCACCTAACACTTTTAGCCCTTGCATGGCTCTAGCTGATTATAGGTCTGTGTCTTCTTTAATGGGGTGCCCAAATGATAATGGTGTTTGGGGAGATGTTTACATAGAAGATATAGAACTAAAATCTGTTCCTGTATAGAAGAAAATCAAAGAGGTTACTCCTAATCTATTGAAAGCGTCATTCTGCACATATTACCTCTGAGTAACCTGCTGCAAAGAGCAGTCACCAAGACCCGAATTTGGCCTGTTATCTCATCTTATATGAGAAGAAATTTCTGAATAAATTCTAAAAAATCACTTTCACCACTCCTTCTGTTTTCCTCCACAGACAACAAATAGATGCTGGACCCTGTTACTAAAGTCTCCCTCTTAGTCTCTCAGTACAGCCTTTGCTCTACATGTGCACCACCAAGTTTCACTCAGCAGGTGGTCAGAGCAGAGACACTAAATCACAGGATGAGGAAGCAGAACCTCATGAGGAGGCTAGAAAAGACTGTCACACCTCACACTTGACAACTGCAGTCCAGAGGCCACCTCAAGAGAAGCTAGCAGCTCAGAAATGCTTATTTTTATAATGGCGTTTCACTAAACTTGAGACATGAGCTTGGGTATGAAAGCAGGATGTGGTTGGCTTACTCATGGCTGGCTTGATTTGACCCTTGGAGGGCCAATTCCATTGGGGGAATGTTACTTTTATCAGTAACTCCACTGATAAAAGAGGATTTCCACCAGGCATGATTGGTCTGGAAAGTTCATAAGTATGGCATGTAATTTGACCAGAAAAATGAAAAGGAAAGCAGAATTATGCAAAGGACTGGGCAGTCTAATCCTCTTCCACCACCATCTGTAGACCCCAATGCGAATGTACTGAATTACATTTGCCAAAGAGTTTCTTGTGTTGGTTGTTTTGATTTACAGTCGGTGGATGCATTGTAAAGCAGTATTATAGCTAAAGTCTAGTAGCTGACACAGGGATTTATGTGGTGATATTATGCAGAAGAAAACCATCAATATTCATATAGATTCCATTAGACTGGACTATGCAGGAAAAGCAAAAATTCTACCAATTATTTAATATTATGTTATTTGCAAAAACAATTGCTGCTTTGTAGGAAGATAATGTGTGTAATGTGAAGGCAATTCCTCTTGTAAATAAGTTCACCTCCATCTTCATCATGGTAGTTATTAAAACAGCCTCGCCTCATCCTGTAGATAAGGAACACGCTGTCTGTACTGTGCAAGTCTCGTTGTGCTCACTGAAAACAAAACAATGTGTTCAATAAAGCACAGCACAAATCCAGAACCTGAGGGAACAGCCAAAACTCGGAAAGACCCCTTCCCTAACAGGCCAACAGTTGCTTTCTTGTAGGTGGAATTGTTTATTTTTTTATTTTTTAAATTTTTTTTAAAAAAAGGTTTCACAGGAAAAAATGGAAAAGAATTGGAGGAAGAAATCACTATGCAAAATCCAGTGAAGTCTGTGACTCGCATCTCTCTCCTCCATTCTGCTGCCTCTTCCCTCTCTCCCATTTCTTTCTCACACCCTCTTTCCACTCCATTTCTATCCCTCTCTTTTATTATTGTTCGTTCCCAATGCACTTTTCTATCCAGAGAGGGAACAGCATTACTGATACGAGAGCAGGTATCTGGGACCTCAAACTCCCCAGTTCTCCTTGTGACTCTAGAGAACCTTTGTCAAGTTCAATTTCCCCTCTATGCCTCAATTCCAATCTGCTGTAAAGAGGGATAACAGTAGTTCCTAGTTCACAGGGGGATTGTGCAGCTGAATTAATTAGCACTGGCTCAGTGCTTTGAGATCCTGAAATAAAATTCTATCAAAGTGTTAAGTATTATTCTGAATAATAATTAATGTTTCCATTACATTTCTCTTTTTTCTTTTTTTCTCACAAATCATTCTTTGTTTCTTTATTCTCCTTTCTTAGCTATCCCTTCACTTCTTTCTCCTCCTATCTTTCATAGCTCTGCTGCTGCATTTGCTTTATCTAACGGACCAAGCACAAATGTTGTATGACTGGATCTCCTTCTGTTACCATTTCTTCACAGGGGAAGAATCTCGTGCCCTCTCACATGTCATGCTTCACTGGAAGCAAGAGGGACCACGACACTTAAAACTGGGCAACACTTTTGAGTCCTGTTCTCTGAAGCTCCTTTTGGCCCAATGGGATGTGGGGAGGTTGCACGGGATAGATGCATTAAAGCTGACATCCTTGTAACCTGTAAATCTGTTGGGGAGGGTTGGTGGCAATAAGCCCTACTGTGGAAACAGAGAGAAGTCTGCATGATTCAAACTCAGAGTAAGACTTCAGAATTAATCACATCACGAATGCGAGGATGTTGAACAAACAACAAAAGGAAAACAAAAAACTCTGCACCTTTTTCTCCTCTTGAGTATTACATATGCACACAAACATTTTCCTAAAGGAATTTTTGGTTTGCTGAACTGTTGGAAAACCCTCACCCTTTCATCCCTAAGGAAAAGCAGCCCTCCAGGAAAAAAAATTAGAATCATAGATGCCCCCTTTGGCAGTGACAGAATGAGGGCTTCTGAGGGACCCCACAAATACCACAGTGTGCTTCTTGGCTGGGCCCTGGACAGTGGCAAACTTGCAAGGCAGAAGGAGGGACCAAACAATGACAATTAAAGAACTGATGACAACTCAAACCCTAACCAGCTCTGCTGATGCTCTCCAGGCTAACTTAGACATAAGAGTGCGGATGGGAGGGGGCCAGTGCCAGGTGCAGGGTCATTCCAGGCTACTGCAGCCACTCTTGGCTTTTCCTCATTGTTTCAGTTCTGTTTGACTTTTTTCTTTTCTCTTTCTGCGCACATAAGTAATAAAACCAATTTGTTTTTTTTTTGTATGTCATTTTGTGGCTTCCAGCTTGTTTTTCTTTCCTCTCTCCCCCCCCCCCCCCCCCGCCCGCCTCAGCACTTCTCTCTCCAGTGGATTCCCCTCCAGGTCTGCAGGATGTTATATTTGCTACACCTAGCACCCTTTGGGCACCATGTAAACAGCACTATGATTGCTAATAACCACCACACTGTGTGATGGAAGGCTCCGCACAAGCTGCAGTACTGTACAGGGCAATCCAGCCTCTGAGCCCCCACCAGCCACCACTCCTCTCCTATTCATTGCCAGCAGGACTCCCTCTTCTATTGATCTCACTCAATTGACTCCCAATGATCCATAACACATCAGGTGTCCCCAGGTAGTTCATAAAATCAAAATGCTGTTGGGTAGCCACAACATCAGAAAGACATGGGATAACCCAGAGCCCCTTCCCCTCTGTGCATGTTTCCTCATAGTCCCAGCTGGGCACGAGTAACATCAGTGCACCTCTGGGAGGATTCTAAATCTTCCCAACTCAGCCCTAATGCCCCATCTCTTGCAAGCCTTGCACCATGCAAGGTCTCAGTGAGGGGAGGGTGGCGGACAGCTCTTACCCCCGCTTCTCTGCTCCCCAGTTTCAGTTTCACAGGAGGAACTGTCAGCCTGATGTTTTATTATGACTTGCTCTCTCTTAATCTGCCTTGGTCAAGCAGGAGGC